CCATCTCTCCTGCCCCAAACTCAGATTTCTAGTGACTGTGTTACAGATCTTTGTTGCAGTACAAGCTCAGATAATGACTGACTTCTTACATTGCAGATGACGTACAGGAAGCTTATAATTTAATCAAGGATCTGGAGCCTACGACGCCTCAGGTAATTGGAGGTGCTGAGTTCCTATTAGGTAAGTGCTGTGCAGACAGCACCGCAGGCAGGCACACAGCTGTAAGGCATGTCAGGGGAGACGTCCACTGCAGGATCCAAGAGGACCCTGCACATTGATGGCTGGGACTTTTTTTTTTTTTTTTTTTGGTTTTACGAGACAGGGTTTCTCTGTATTGTTTTGGAGGCTATCGGTCCAGCCCAGCCTCGAACTCACAGAGATCCGCCTGCCTCTGCCTCCCGAGTGTTGGGATTAAAGGGCCAGCTGGCTGGGGAACTTTTAATGTTCTGGGCTTTTTAAAATATCTGTTTGATTCCTAAAATGGTCTAAAGTTTGAAAGTATGAAAATCCATTTGAAAAACTTAAATCTATACCTCTAACAAAGTGAACACCTACAGATATGCTCTTTGTCACTAACATGAGTGACTGTAACTTGTCTCTCTTCTCTCAGTAGGTTGTTCACCCCTGCAGGCAGGGCCTGTCTCTCTTGTATCTCCAGCACTGTGTGTGCTCAGTACATAGGAAGCATCCCTCCACTGAATACAAGCCTGGAGGAGGCCGGCAAGATGGCTTAGTGGGTAAAGCTCCTGCCATCAAGCCTGATGGCCAGGGTTCAGTCCCTGGGATCCACGAGGTAGAAGGAAAGAGACAAGTCCCACAATTGCACTCTGACCTCCATATGCATGCTATAGCATGTACATATACCCATACCCATGAGCATATGTGTACACACACACACACACACATACACACACTAAATAAATGTTTAAAATATAAAGAATCGCCGGGTGGTGGTGGCGCACTCTTTTAATCCCAGCACTCGGGAAGCAGAGGCAGGCGGATCTCTGTGAGTTCGAAGCCAGCCTGGTCTACAAGAGTGAGTTCCAGGACAACCTCCAAAGCCGCAGAGAAAACCTGTCTTGAAAAACCAAAAAAAGAAAAAATATATATAAAGAATGAAAGCTACTTCCTGACCGGGTGGAGCCTAAACAAGTCTTTTTCTCAAGGGAACTGAAGGCTCCAGGGTCCTTTTACTACTTAGAGTGAGCCCTCCAGTAAAAGCTAAGGAAAGTATTATTAAAATTTAGCAAGACTGAGAAAAATGGGATATAGATGAGGCCACAGCACTCCAAAAGAGGAAGTATCTTATAAATGGGCATCAGATGTCATCTTTTTCCTTTAGAAACAGGACCGAAGCATAGTTATTGTGACATTGGAGACTAGAAATGCCGTGTTTGCAGTTTCCCACAAGCAGTGACTTCCCCTGTTCTTTGCCACAAGGTTGCTCCCCGCCTGGGGCTCACTGACTAGGTTAGGCTGGTTTGCCTATCAAGCCCCTGGAATATGCCTGTTTTCACCTCTGCAGCACTGAAATTGCAAGTCGTTTGTCCCTGGCTCCTGGGGATTGAACTAGGGTCCTCATGCTACATGGCATGTCCTTTGCTGACTGAGCTGCCTCCCCAGCCTCCACTGAGTTTTTTCTACTTAGGACTGAGCATTTACGATGATAAACTCTGTATGTGAGCATTGTCTGCTAGATGTCTAACCGGACTCGACACCCATAAGCCAGGGGTATAACAGAAAGGCGGCGTTCAGCATGTGAAGTAAAGCTGGTGCTGGGGGCCAGCAGGAAAACCCACACAACTGGTTTATGATGATTGTGTTTTTCCAGGAGTATATTCTCAAGGGAGTTGTTAATGCAGCCCTTGGCCAGGAAATGGGTTCGGTGAGTATGAAATTTTGATGATCCATACTTTGCCGAGTTGTGGTCATGTGAAAACGAGGATGGATGATGGTGTGCAGCCAGGAACAGTCTGCAGTCTCTGGGCTCTTCTGCAGGCCCTTGCTTTGGATGCTGGAGGTGGTGCTGGGGAGCAAGCCCTGAGCTGGGAGATCCTTGCCACATCCTTGCTCCTCCAGTTCCTTTAAGTCTTCAAACCCGCTAGGCCAGGATCCCCACAAAAACAATTCCATTGTGTAGACTTTTTAAAGCTTTAGTCATAAAACTTGCTATTTTGTTTAAAAGAGCCCCAAAGTAATATAGTTATCTCTTTACTAACGAACACAGAAAATGGATTTGGTACCTAGAAAATGGGAAAAATTCTTTCTCTAGAAAAGCTCTTAAGGTACTGAAGATATACCTCCATCTCTTCTAGATAAGCTTTTTTGTTTTGTTTTTTAATTTTGGTTTCTTGAGACAGGGTATCATATCTAACTATATCCCAGGATGGCCTTGGGCTCACACCGATCTTCAGTGTCCTTCTCAGTGTCCCCAGAGCTTGGTTTAAAGAGCTTTTTCCTTCTTTTTTTGTTTTTGTTTTTGTTTTTGTTTTTTGAGACAAGGGTTTGTCCTGGAACTTATCCTGTGAACCAGACTGGCCTCCATCTCAGAGATCCACCTGCCTCTGGAGTACTGGGATTAAGGGCATGTCCTACCACCACTGGGCTAAAGAGCTTCTTACAACTATGGAAGCAGCCTAAACAGCAGGCTACTGTTGTGCATGGCATGCACCTATAACTACAGGCTTGGGAGGACAAGGCAAGAGGATCTCAAGTTCAGGGACAACCTGGGTTACATAGTGCAACCCTTTCTCAACAACAGACAGGCAGACCGACAGAGAGATAAATAGGTATACTAAGGTTTTTTATCCATACTAATGTAGCATATTAAGTTCTTTATGAAGCAAAAAATACAACAAGTAAGCCTTTCACCTCTGGGTCTCTCCATGTAGCAGCAAATACTTATTGCATAAATCCTTGTTATGTCTGTGGCTTCTGTGCAAAGTTCAGACGCAGAAAGTGTGTTACATATTTGTTGAATGTATACATTTACTTATTTAATGCATGGATTTCAAGGTTTCCTTCTATAATTGTCTCTACTTTTCACACAATTTCAGGTTGTGATTTTCTAGGTGCTTTTAACAATGAGCTAATAAGAATGTAAGATTTAAAGCAAGGATATTTGTTAAAACATACAGGAAAATGCATTGTGATCATAAGTATAATATAGATAGAATACTGTGCCTACTTTCTCTTTATAAGCTTTGTTCTGTCTTGCAGAGGGACCACATGAAAATTGCCCAGCAGTTCTTCCAGTTGGTAGGAGGATCAGCTAGTGAATGTGGTATGTCTACAGTCTGTCCTTTTGAGTACAGTCATAATTAGAGTTGGGTGATACTGACTAGTGAATGTGGTATGTCTACAGTCTGTCCTTTTGAGTACAGTCATAATTAGAGTTGGGTGATACTGACTAGTGAATGTGGTATGTCTACAGTCTGTCCTTTTGAGTACAGTCATAATTAGAGTTGGGTGATACTGACTAGTGAATGTGATATGTCTACAGTCTGTCCTTTTGAGTACAGTCATAATTAGAGTTGGGTGATACTGACTAGTGAATGTGATATGTCTACAGTCTGTCCTTTTGAGTACAGTCATAATTAGAGTTGGGTGATACTGACTAGTGAATGTGGTATGTCTACAGTCTGTCCTTTTGAACACAATCAGATTTAGAGTTGGGTGATACTGACTAGTGGAGTCTGGCTGTCTAGGAATGTGTTATGCTTCTCATTTTGGAACAAGGGTTTAGAAACTGGAGAGGAGTGACGTAAGAATACATAAATAAACAGGGATAAATTTGCTCCTTAATTCCTGAGAATTATAAGTCTAAATTTGTTTTTCTTATTCTTTCTTTTGTTCTCTGAGACAGGGTCTCTCTGTGTAGCCCTGGCTGTCCTTACACTCTGTAGACAAGGCTGGCCTTGACCTCCACCTGCCTCTGGCTCCTGAGTGCTGGGATTAAAGGCATGCACCACCACATCCAGCAAAGCCTAGCTTCAGAGCAGATGGCTCAGTGGTCGAGCACTTGTAACACAAACATGAGGACCTGAGTTTGGATCCTTACCACCCATGAATGTGAGGACAGGGGGGTGGATATCTGTCATCGTGCTATGAGTGGGAAGTAGAGACTGGAGAATCCCTGGAAGTTTGCCACACAGCTAGCCTGGCATATACAGCCAAACTGCGAGAGCCTGACTCGAACAAGCTAGAAGGCAAGGGACGGCATGTGAAGCTGTCCTCTGACCCTTCACACACACTGTGGTACATACACAGACACATTTGTCACACACACAAAAACAAACAAACAAACAAACAAAAATAAAGGCCACAGAGCTGAGGCAGTAGGTTAAAACATTTGTCACCAAACCTAACGACCTGAGTTTGTTTGTCAAAACCCACGTGGTGGAAGGAGAGAACCAACTTCTACAACTTGTCCTCTGACCTCTGCATGGACACCATGGCAGATTCATGGCCACACTCATATACACACAATTCAAAAAGTATAAAGAAACATAACAAAACATTTTAAATGTTAAAAATAATCAGAGTCGATTAAACAGAGGAGAGACAGATGACTCAGTGGCTAAGAGCGTGTATTACTCTTGCAGAGGACTGGAGTTTGGTTCCCAGCACTCTTTGGGCCACTCACAACTATCTGTAACTCTTAGCTTCAGGAAATTTGATACCTTTCTCTGGGCTATTTCCCGAGCATGACTGTTATGAATAGTGCAGAGATAACACGGAGTCAGGTGTCTGTGGTGTGAAGACCTGGTGTCAGTGTAGCTGCTTCAGGCAGTCTTCTCTGTTGTGTTGTGGTGCTAGGGATGAAGTGTAGCTGCTTCAGGCAGTCTTCTCTGTTGTGTTGTGGTGCTAGGGATGAAGTGTAGCTGCTTCAGGTAGTCTTCTCTGTTGGGTTGTGGTGCTAGGGATGAAGTGTAGCTGCTTCATGCAGTCTTCTCTGTTGGGTTGTGGTGCTAGGGATGAAGTGTAGCTGCTTCAGGCAGTCTTCTCTGTTGTGTTGTGGTGCTAGGGAACAAACCCGGGCCTCGTGTGTGGCAGGCCAGTGCTGCACCCCTCTAACCCAACCCCACTCTTGTAAGATTTTGAGGAACTCTA